ACGGTCGAGCCTGGTACGGACTCGGGCGAGTCTATCGGTCACAGCCATGATGCCAAAACGCCCGAATACTCGGAGAAGAACGTCGCGCAGGCGTATCCAACAGCGACAATCGATGGCCATGGCACCTCTCTCAGGGTAAACGAAACTCACCGTTGTGTGTCGTATGGAACAGAAACCCGCTGACTCGTCGGATTCCTTTAGCGACTCTTCAGCTTCGCCCAGCTTCTCGCCTTTTCCTTGACCTTTATGGAGTCCTGGGAAGTCATGGCCATGTCCGCCCTCATCTTTTCTTTTGTCTTTTTCCCTGAACCACGCGCAGAATTGCCCGTCTGATCAATCTTCATCATGGTAGGAACATCTCGGCCACCTTCTGGAACGGCGGCCCGCAGTCCCTCATCTGGGGCTGCATCGCGGTCGTGATCGGGTCTCTGGCCCAAGCATTCTCCATGGCAGAACTGGGTTCCATCCTCCCCATAGCCGGCGCGCAGTACCATTGGACGCATATCATGGCCCCCGAGGGCGCGAGGAAGTTTATCACTTGGATGCAAGGTGCGGCGCCTCCATGTCCAACAGCTGTTCTTACCACGAAGTTTCCACGCTATTGACACGGAAGCTCATACACAGGCTGGGTGACTTGGTTTGCCTGGGTCTCAGCTCTCGCAGGGAGTGCCTCTGGCGAAGCGGCCCTCCTCCAAGCCCTGATCGCAGAGAACGTGCCGGGATACACGGCTGAGCGATGGCATCTGACCTTCATCATGTGGGCGCTGTTGATCTCCTGCGGGCTCATCAACACCTTCACCTTCTGGCTCGTGCCCTGGCTGGAGCTGGCCTCGGGCATTCTGCACGTCATCTTGTTCGTCATCTTCGTCGCCGTCCTGACCGCCCTGGCGCCCAAGCACGACACGACTTTCGTCTTCTTCACCGAATCCATCCTGTCCGGCTGGGACCGGAGCAGTTTCGTCGCCTTTAACCTGGGCATGCTGGTGCCTGCGTGGGGGTTTATTGGTTAGTAACGCTGAGAACTTGCTTTTTGTCCTCACTCTTTGAAGAACTCCCTTCTTCTGACAATGCCTCCCCGGAAAAAGGATTCGACGGCGTCGTGCACATGTCCGAGGAAGTCCGCCGGGCCAAACACGCCGTCCCGCGGTCCATGGTCCTGACCATCGTCATCAACGGCCTCATGGCCTTCAGCATCATCCTCGTCCTGCTCTACTGCCTGGGCAACCTGGACAACGCCCTCGACGCCTCCTACCCCATCATCCCCATCTGTCTGAACGCGACGGGGTCCATGGCCGCCACAAACGCCATGGTTTCTGGACTGATCATCGTCACATACTTTGTCGTCGCGGCGAGCGTTGCCTCCGTCTCAAGGATTACCTGGGCGTGGGCGCGAGACGGGGCTCTGCCGCGATGGTTCTCGGTGGTGAGTTTTTTTTCTCTCTGCCCTTTCTCTATTGGGACTGTTGAGATTCCGCATCACACCTTTCTGGGTAATGGTCCTCCTGTTCTACCACCTCGGATTTCTGATAGACTGCTATAACAGATCGACCGCAAGCGTCACGTCCCCGTCAACGCGACGTGGCTCCCCATCGTCATCGTGTGCCTTTTGGCCCTGTTCCAAATCGGCTCCACCACCGGCACTGCTTTTAGCGCCTTCACGGCCCTCTCCTCTCTGGGACTGTACACGTCCTACATCATCGCCATCTCGTGCATCCTGCACGCGCGTCTGACGGGCCGTCTGACCGATAAACCCCAAGCCCCTTCCTCATCCGGCGCATCTTCTTCTTCTACTGTTCAGTACGGCTCCTGGCGCATGTGGCCCGGCATCGCCACGCCGGTCAACATCTTCGCCCTCTGCTGGACCATCTACCTGACCATCTGGTTGCCGTTCCCCACGACCCTGCCCGTCACGGGCACGAACATGAACTACGCCCTGCCCATCTACGTGTTTGTCGTGCTGTGTTCGCTGGCGTATTGGTTCCTGTGGGGTCACAAGCATTGGCCCGGGTTGGATTTGGCGGCGATAGGCATGGTTGAGGCGCATGAGTAGTGCCACTTCTGACCAGAAAAAAAAAGAGGGGGGATCGTGCGAGGGGACGGGAGGGATGCGGAAGAGAGAGAGGGATGGCGAGGCTTTGTGGCACTTTGTGGTGTGCGTCGTATATTGTCAAGATGTGAAGATATGAATACAATCAATCACATGGTGGTAAAGGTTGAAGGGGACGAAAGAGTTTAGACGTGGCGACGATGACGAGGTCAGCTTTTTGCAGATAGAAGGACTCGGCGCCGGCAGCTCTCAGCTCTCAGCTCTCAGCTCTCAGCTCACAGCTCAGTGTTTGTGTAGGTGTGGCTTATGGCCTGAAGCGTATGGCGTATGGCCTACTCGTATACGCGCCTCTGGAGTCTAGACAGTCACTACAGTCCAGCCTGGCAGAGACCGCAGAGAGCAGACCCGTTGAATCAAGACCACGAAGAAAAAGGAAATCCAAACAAACACAAGAGCCGTGCGCGTCACCTCAAGCGTCGAGAATCTCAACATTGAAAAGCTTAAGATGTACTCTCAACAGTCGCGCCTCTCTGACGACCCCGTCGACGGGATTGATTATCCCACCATTCGTGACGACGTACAGGTCCTTTGCATCGGATGCTGTAGCTCCGAAAGAAACTGCAGTAGGTCCTGTTGTGTCCCGGTCAACCTCGACCTCGCGATCCGAGTCGGAGTTGGAGTCGAAGCCAGGTTTCGGTTGCGACGCAGATGCCTCTTCAGTAGACAACTGAGGGCGGTATAGGCCAAGAATGACTCGTCGCTCTGCCGCCGCATTTGCTGTTCCTCCTGAGCCAGCGGAGGCGCGGGGAGTCGCTGCAAGTAGAGAAAATCTCAGCACCGTGTTCATCGGGTTCGTCGCAACATAGATATTTCCTTGTCCGTCGATGCAGAGGTCGTCACCACCACAACCACTTGCAAGAATCTCGATGTCGACCTGCTCCTTTGAATTGCGTGCAGGAACTGTCGTGACGTCTTGATTCTCGACTTTTATCCGCCCTAAAATCGCGCGGTCCGAGTTTGTGAAATAGATCCAGCTGTCTCTCCCGTCGTGATGGTATTTGACACCATTGACCCCCGGCCAGGGCGGTCGTGTCGTCATTTTCCCCAAGAGAGCGTGCTCGAGCCAGATGTCCACGTTTCCTCTTACGATATTGTAAGAGTACAGACGTCCTTGATACGACTCTGCCATCAAGATCAAGGGTTCTGAGCGGTGAGGGACAGCAGTGCCTCCGTTGAGCCATGTCGCGGCGGGAACTGGGGCGAGGCGCTTGACTTTGACTCCAGTGGCCACTTGGCCTGTGGCCGAAGTCTTCGCAGGGCTCGCATATGGGAGAAATGAGCGCATGTCCAACTCGTAGACCCACCACGTGCCCTTTTTGCCATGAACACCAGAGAACAGGTAGAACAAATCCGGTGTAATTGGGGATTCAACGATTGCCTCCGCGGCAGGGGTGGATGCATAGGAACCATGACCTTCGCCTTCTCCTTGTTCTTGCTCGTCAGGCCCGTCAACAGCCAATGACTGCTCGACCTGCGCGTCTTCGGGCGCAAATTTGTGAACCAGCTCCAAGGTTGCCTGGGTGGTTCCATCCTCTGCATGAGGGTTAATATACCAGATACTCCCACTCAACATGTCGGAGACGAGGATCGAGCCATCACGACGCACGGCAAGGTTCTCGAGAAAGGAGCCAGGAGGGAAAGTTGCAATCGTGCTATACGGTGGCGGGAGTTTTGGGAGAGATCCTGTGATGTGAACAGGAAGACTATTGTCCTCTAAGTCGGCTGCGGAAGTCATGGAGAGTGGTAAGGTGCGGTGAAGACAATTAACAAAGAGGAGTATCGAGGAGAGATTTGGTTGTTCAGGATGGTAGCAGGGCATGCGCGTCTTAATAGCAGACATGGTGCCTTGCGTTGAACCATGCTGAGAGGGAGGCGTTCGGTCGGGTTGCGGACCTCACACTCGAGCTCTTTCTTCCTCCTTCAAAGCTTTCGATCTGTATGTTTGTAAGCATGATGAATTACTCACCTTCTCATCTCGCGGATTTGAGACTTCACTAGCTCGGCTTCAGACATCTTCAGGCAAAACCCTCGTGCTTCAGAACGAAAAAGCCGCGGAAGCTTCACCTTCTCCTCACCAATGCCCAGATGTGGAAATTTTGGGAACCCAACAACAATCTTGTGGAACACCATGCCGCGCCGTGAAACATACGTGCTTCATCTGCTGAAGACCTGCTTGGCTGGCTCTGCCAGTTCACGCGGAGGCCAGGAATGATTTCGGAGCTGTTGTGCTGTTGCCAGGATGAATTGTATGTATGTTGTTGGAAGAGGGGACTGAAGCAGCTGTGCCTTGTCACTGTTTCCGCCCGCAGGCTCGACCACGCAACAACAATAACGGGTATATAATTCAAGATCATTTTGGATTTATTATTTTTTGTTTTATTACACTGGTATCTGCACAGCTGGAGAGCTACAACCACAACTATGATACAACGCCAGATCGCGCTAGCCGTTGCACTGTCATACAACACGACTTATGCCATCCATCCCCACACCGGCACGCGACCAACTCCTCTTACCACCATCCCTGCGGTGTAGCTGTCCCTTCTTTTTTCTCTCTAAGCCCCATTGCCGCTTGAGCAAAGATCTGATTTTGTAAGATAGACAAGATTTTGAACTTGAGTGGAGTGTAATGTAACAAGCTTCGTAAATATACAAAAGAGGTAGGTAGATCAACCTGTTTCTCCGAACGAGCAAATCTCCTCCAGCTTGAGTTGAGGGAGGGGAGCGATCGTGAGAAGGTGGTGATTGGGAGGACCCGACGAGATGGTGTTGCGGATTGCTGCTATACCAAATGTGCGAATGTAATCGCTGGAACGCAGGAAGAATCGCAAGTGGCTGTAGGAAAGGGTGAGGAAGGGTGGATGTAGCCTTCCTCATTTGACTTGGGGATTGTTTAGAAGCCGCCCATGCCACCCATGCCGGGCATACCGCCACCCATAGGCATTGCAGGCTTCTCTTCCGGTGCCTCCACGATGGCAACTTCGGTGGTACCCAGTAGCGACGCAACGCCAGAGGCATCAACGAGTGCGGTACGGACGACCTTGAGGGGATCGACAATACCCTTGCTCAGCATATCAACATATTGTCCACTAGCAGAGTCGAAGCCCTTGTTGAAGTCGGAACCGAATTCGTCCATAAGCTTGCCGACGACAACGCTGCCTTCCAGACCGGCATTTTCAACGATTCTCCGGGCGGGACGTGTGATGGCGTTCTTGATGATGCTGACACCGAGCTGTTGGTCGAAGTTGGAAGGCTGGACACTACCAAGGGCATTTGCAGCGGCCTTGATCAAAGCAGTACCACCGCCGGGCAAGATACCCTCCTCAACGGCGGCGCGAGTAGCGTTCAGAGCATCGACGACACGATCCTTCTTCTCACCCACTTCAACCTCAGAAGCTCCACCAACCTTAATGACGGCAACACCGCCAGACAGCTTGGCAAGACGCTCTTGTAGCTTCTCCTTCTCGTATTCTGAGGTGGACGGGTCAGCCATGACACCACGAATCTGTTCGCAGCGCTGGGCAATGGCGTCTTTGCTGCCTTCACCGTTCAAGATGATGGTATCTTCCTTGGTGATGGTGATGCTGCCGGTCGAGCCCAGCATGTCAGGGGTGGCCTTTTCCAGCTTGATATCGAGTTCATCCGTGAAGACAGTAGCATTGGTCAGGATGCCGATATCACCAAGGATGCTCTTGCGGTTGTCTCCAAAGCCGGGAGCCTTGACTGCGGCCACTTGAAGTTGTCCTCGAAGCTTGTTGAGAATGCAGACAGCCAATGCCTCGCCATCGATGTCCTCGGCAATGATGACAAGAGGTCGGCGCATTTGGGTAGACGCCTCAAGCGCGGGGATAATGTCTTGCACAGCAGAGATCTTCTTCTCGGAAAGGAGAATCAAGGGCTTCTCAAATTCGATCTTTTGAGCCTTGGTGTCGGTGATAAAGTACGGTGACGTAAAGCCGCGGTCAAAGCGCATGCCCTCAGTAACCTCGAGTTCGTCTTCGATTGTTTTTCCTTCCTTGACCGTAATCACACCCTCTTTGCCGACCTTTTCCATGGCATTGGAGATAAGGTTTCCAACATGGGTATCTCCGTTGGCAGAAATGGTAGCAACTTGAGCAATCTCGGCACTGGTGGTAATGTCCTTCTTATTCTTCTGGAGGAAGTCAACGACTGCGTCAACTGCCGCCTGGGTGCCTCTTCTCAAGTCCATAGGATTGCATCCAGCTGCGACGTTCTTGACGGTTTCGGAGAAGATGGCACTTGCGAGCACGGTGGCGGTCGTGGTACCATCACCTGCGACTTCGTTCGTCTTCGAGGCGACGTCCTGGATGAGACGGGCTCCGAGGTTCTCGAACTTGTCTTGGAGGGTGACTGCTTTGGCGACAGTAACACCATCTGATTGTTTCATTAGCTTTCAGGTAAGTGCTGGCATCGGAGATCATGGATGCTTACCTTTGGTTATCTTGGGTGAGCCGTAGCTTGACTCAATGAGGACATTGCGGCCCTTGGGACCAAGTGTTGTTGCAACAGCCTTTGAAAGAGTCTCGACACCCTTGAGCAGCTGGGCTCTTCCTTCTACTCCGAACTTGAGCTCTTTGTGAGCGAAGCGCAGTTGTTGCAGACTCCGGCCGGCTGATCTGGAGTATGGAGAAGGGGAGGATAGGGAGGATCGAGCTGCGGAGGAGAGAGCGCGCTGCATGATGGGCAAATCAAGTGGACGAGAGACAATGAGGAGAAAGAAAGGGGAAATAGAACAACTGATGAGTTGTAATATGGTAGGAGAGTTTCAAGGTTTTGATGCCAATAAAAATTTGGAGATTCTCGAAATCAACAGAATCGCAAGATGCAGCATGATTCCACTTTGGGAATAGTCGCTTGGCAACCAATAGGAGCCTTGCCGCCGCCGCCTCCGACTCTTCCGAATAAAAATCCTCCCTGCCCATTTCCACTGCGACATACTTGTACGGAGTACTGGATTTACCTCGTAGTGCTCTTATTGGTGTGGCCGGAGTTCGTATAATAGCCAGCGTGGAAGCATATCATGGCAAAGGAAAAGCAATAACAGTGGAATTTGATCCGATATGTCTCATGGTTGACATTTCGAAAAGCTCACACCTCTATCTTTTTTTTCCAAGTACATGGAGAGAATGGAAATGCACCGGTTCATAGCCAGCTGTCCGTGAGTGCCACCATACGTTCCAGTCCTTGACATCTTTTTCCGTGCTAAATTCTGGTAGTCGACGTGATCTCCGGTGTGATCCCTGTTGGTTCATACCTCCCTTTGCTAGGATCACTTGATGATATCCGACCAAAAACACATGCTCTCCGTTGATGCTTTTTGCCCAGCAAAAGAACTGGAACAGAAAGAGAAAAGAAAATACAGATTGCGTGATTCCATCATGGTCTTAAACTCCTCCCAGACTACACCACGAGTGCTCAGTGCCATGGAATATCACTTCACTTTTCACCGTCATGCAAATTCGTTGTGCTCAGGTATCTTCAGTTGTGGGTGATGTATCATTGAGTGACTGTTTAATCCTGTCAGCGATGACCTGAACTCCGTCTTTGCATGAAACTCACCGACGCCTAAGCATCATCGACCAGATAGTCACCAGCGTTCCAGAAGATATCGTCGTTTGCCGTGCTGTTCATCATGTCCTCCTCGTTGATCACATCGCCGGTATTACCATGTCCGAAGCCGGTATGCGGGGTCAAGAACTCGTTGTCAGACATCGATGGAAGAGTCGTGAACATCATGCCAGCAGCAATCGAATTGTTGCGGGATGAATCCGTGGACGAACCGTACATGCTCACGCTCTGGAACTGCGATGCTGGATACGCTTGTGGCACTGGGTTCAAGAACGTGGCACCGGAATATCCGAGCCCAGGAACCGAGTATGGGTTATGGATGAGGCCGACACCAATGTGACCATGATGACCGTATGTTCCGGCATTCGAGGTATTGAGGTGGGTGAAAGGAGCCTGTTTCGCAGTCAGCGTAGGTATCTATCAAGACTAAGATGCTAACTTACCGTAGTGGTGGAGATGATCTGGCCATATGGGAGACCAGCCACATTCTGCTGACCAAGAATTTGAGAGTCTACTTGCTGACCACCGAGGATGATGGTTGACGCTTCGCTAGACGCTTCGTCCGTGTCATCACTGCCACCATCGCCTTCATCAACGTCAATACTACCATAGCTGCCTTCAGCCTCTTCGTCTAAATATTCCGGGACTTCCTCGTCAACATCAGCTTCATCGTCGGAAGGTGCGGCCATGATAGCATAGTCACGCTTGATTCCACGAGTGCGACGAGTAGAGCCAACGAGTTCCTCTTCCTCCTGCTTGATAGCCTTGTGGTTATCAACAATTGTTGCTTCGACCGACGAGGGGGTGGGAGATTCGGCTTCATCGAGAGCTGCGGAAGCTTCAGCAACCTTCTTCGCCTTGGTCTTGTCGTTGCGGCGCTTCTTAGGTGTAGGATACTCCTCATCGGAATCATACAAATCTGGAACAGGTTCGTTATCTTCCTCGTCACTTGATTGGTGACGATGACCTTTAGCTTTCCCTTTTCCCTTTCCTTTGGATTTCGGTTCCTTCTTCACCGGCACATCTTTCTCTTTGGGAGCCTCCTTCTTACGAGCACGCTTGGCTTTGTCATAGATGGATCCCTTCTCTTCACCTTCGTCTTGGTCGTCCGCGTCCACCGCGGGAAACATTGGAGGAATTACTTCGAGCTTGACCTTGTTGCCCGCGTTGGTGTAGATCTTTGATAGTTCTTTTGTGACCATCCCACGCTTCACAGCTGGTGGCACAGGAATACCATGATGGGCCATGAGGTTTCGAAGCTTTGCAAGGTGTTGAACGATGGAGCCTTCAGTGAAGGTGGGACCCATGAGAGTCGCAACACGACTCCCTATGATTCCGGTCAGTGGAGACGAAGCTGTTGGTTTCTGTACTTACATGGAATCTTCAGGCCAGCTTCTGCACACGCATACTGAACACAAAGCAGGACTCCCTTGTCGAGATCATCTGGATGTTTGTTAGCAAGATGTATGCTGTTGGCATTTGGCAACCTCAACTAACCACTCCAACGATTGAGCACACGCTTTGCAGGGCGGTTTTTGGCAGGCATCTTGTCTTCTGCAAAGGACCAAGTGCCGTTAGTCTGTTGTTCTGTGTTGTCAGTCGAGCAAGAGAAAGAGTGTGGAGGGAGGATGTTTGTGTTATTTTGAAGAAGGGATGTGATGTCTCAGCGTCGTGGTGAATCTCCAGTTTTGCAGGCTTGGTGATACCAATTTCGTCGGGTCGAGAGAGTATCGCGAGGGCTTGAGACGAATCAAAACGTTGGAAGTCCGTCACTGGCACTAATTGAAAGCGGAGACGAGTGTCGAAACGGTGAATAGCAGACAATAGGATGAAGGATGGCGCAAGAGGAAGGAGGTTTTTGTGTGGGCAAATGTGCGTTGTGTTGAACAGTCACTCTCTTCTGCAATGGCACTTACCAAACAGGGCACAGCTGCCGCCAACCAAGCCTTGACAGCCCTCAGATCCGTTCCGAGCACGATGACAGACGTAGAAAGGGTATGAAGAGAATATTGATGAGGCAAGAGGGTTGTGAGAGATGTGATCTGGAGGTATGGGCTCTGTCATGGGCAGAAAGATACAGGGGGCAGAAATGGGGGAAAGTCTTTGTCCTGAAGGGGTGTTGGTAGTGAAGACCACCAGAACAACAACGAGGTCGCCAACGCCCATCCCCTTTGCGTGTTGAGTGCGCGTGTGCTCCTCTTCGACATGACACTGATAAAGGAAACTGAATTGCTATTGCTCTCCTCTGGCCTTTCTTTCTCTTGATAACCTTCTTCAAGGCTGGAAACCCCGCGAAAGAGGTGCTTCACCCTCCCATAACTTCGGATGGCGTTTGAAAAGGCACGGTGTCGACCGTCCAGTTCATGTCCACCTGCTGACTGAGAAACAGGGAATCGCCCTCTTCATACTATCTGACACCGTCAGTTGCCTCTGCTTCGCTGCGCTTCACCTCGTTGCGTCTCCGGAGCTGGATACCTCTTAACTGGTCAGTCCACCAGGACAACACTGCCTTTCGACTTCGACACAACGTCTTCTTCTCGGTGTCGTCCCGCCGGCTTTGGAACCGGCACAACTTCCTGTGGCTGGGGTGGAAGTCTTACCGGCACTGCTTCGACTGGAAAAGGAGGCTGAGTGATCTGACTTGGTGGGTTGAGATAGTCTTGGTTGCTGTATATCTCGAAGCCATTGATGGAACCGCCACTTCCCTCGCTTGTGAATGGCCATGCCTCCCTGAACGCAGGCGGAAAAGGAGGATAGCTAGGTACATCCGGTACCAACTGGTGACCAGTGCCACATGGGACCGTCGGGAATCCAGCAAAGGAAGGTCGTTGTCGTGCCAAATATGGACCACCTTGGAATACAGGACTGCTGGGAACAAATAGGGAGGTCGGAAGAATCATCTGTGGCACACCAGTTGGACCGGAAAGGTTTGGTCGGAGAGATCGATTGAATGCTTCTGCCTTTGCCGGTGTGGGTACAGAGTCATCACCTCGTGGATCGGTGATGGTCATCGTTGCTGGCCTGGAGCTTTCGTCGACTCTCTTCGACCTCCGAGAAGGGGCAGGGCTGTGTCTCTCCAGTTTCTGCTTCTTTGACGCCGAAGGCTTCTCTTCCGGATGCCTCGCCTTTTGCTTTGGCTGTGTTGGTTTCGAGACCGGGTTGGTTGCTGAAGCACTGGTAGAGCTGACTCCGTTGGCCTTCGCGAGCCTCTCGTATCGTTTGGCTCTTGCGGTCCGTCAGCAGGTCAGGTACAGCCGCATCAGCACGATACACTCACGCCGCTCCTTTGCTGATCACTCCACACTCTTTGGCAACCTCCATGAAATCGACCTGCCGCTGTCAGTCATCTGGAGCCTGGTGCGATAGCGAAGGACCTCACTCACCCTTCCGTGCGTGGCATGTTTGACGCAGCTCAAGAGGAACCTCAACTGGTCGTCTGGCGTGGCTCGAGACATGGCAACACCGGTGTGCGTCTGGACGAAATAAAGAGGGATCCGTTGATGAATGCTGTGGCCGGGACTGCAAATATGAGGTGAGTTGACGAAATGCTGTCAAAGGAGTACGGTAGGAGCAACTGAGGATATTGAGAGATGTTGTGAGAATTAAGTACATGGATCGAGCTTCCATCCGCAAGAGTCTCTGTCTGCTGTTGTATTTCTTTCATTGTGATGTCTTTGATTGTTCAGGGAAGAATTGCTAGGACCAAACTGCTGGGTTTTGGTCCGACTGTATCAAAGCCAAAGGAACAGCACTCACAATTGGACCTGGTAATGACAAAGGCATTGACGAGGTGACCAAGCACAAGGAAAGGCTTTGACTGACGGGACGTGCTGCCAGACAAGACAGAGGATGGCGGAGCTTGCGGCATGTTGCTTGCTGCGGGCCAGTGTGGTGTTTGGAGAGGCAGGTCTTTGTCTCTGAGACGATCTTAGGCGGACCACGTCAGGGTCGGTCCTGGGCTCGGCGCGGTTTGAAATTCTTTGATTGAACGCCTTTCCAGCGTTTGCGCTCCTCTGGACTCTTCTTGAATGCTTCTGTCAGGCGCAAAGACGCATTGTGCGCCTAAGATTTCCTGAATCTGTCAATCATGTCACTCTTGACAACCTCTCACTATCAGTTTCGGCCTCAAGCACGATCATCGAATTATGGACCTCTGGTCTTGGGAGTTTTTATCTGAAGTATCACGCTTGAACTACTTGAGATGCCTATACTAACGATCATAGGAAGATGTGATTCAGAGCAGGCAATGGGATGGTCGTGTGTATCATATCTGAATGCGCCCTGAAGCATCGGCACAGACATCTTAACATCGTCCTTACCACGCCAACCTTTGTCCACAACATCAGCATAGTCGGAAGAACGTCGGTGTTCTGAAGGCATGTACTAGTGGCCTTTTCGCTTGCTCTCTTGTCGATGGATTGAAGGACGGGTTGTGCCACTTGCTTGTCGCTCCCCTCTTCTCTCACAGCAAGAGACAATCAGGAATGTCCTTCAACTACGTTGCCACATCAGGATGCCTGGACCAAACAGTCTCCTTTATTCTCCGCCTCTACTATGCTATGGATACTGCGCAACAACGCTCGATGCTTGAAGTTACATCCTGGGCCGGTATCTCTGAACCACAATGCAAGGCAAATCTGGTTCAGCTCCTCTTCATTGTGCATGAGCCCAGCTAGCCAGCTCAACTGTGGATATTGAGACCGCATGCACTCCGATCTTGTTGAGATCTGGTCGGGCTGCTGTGCTACGATGCATACACAGAATACAGGCAACGAGTGGGTATTGCTGGTTGGAAATATGTGGTTGTCGCACAGCATTACAAGGAGCAACCGTCTTCCTTCCGCTTGGGAGCACGCCTCCAAGCAGGACTATCCCGAGTCTTGGAATATTCGGACTGATCTATGTAGTTTTAAACTCGTGTGGCATTTCATACCAGAGCATAATGCATATGGCGCCCTACATCGACAATGAGTGGACATGACCAGAAACTGTCAAGCACGGCTGTCCGTACCATTCTCGATCTCATGTTCATCATAGGTCGTCTGCCGCAAAAGGTCGGGTCCCCTTACCTTTGAGGTATTGATGCACGGATCTTTCGAAGCAGCAACTTGAGTCACAAAGCCCTTACATCAAGCTCTAAACGATTGCCGTCCACGACCATTCCAAAAATGCGGGAAATTGCACAGGCAGCCACACACTTGGATAAGGCTCGCTATTCAGGGGATCAGTGGTACGCCACGGTTAGGAACAATATTTCTCCGACAGATACCTAGAGGGTGCCTCCCTGTGAAGGTGTCTTTGTTGACACAGACGGAAATCAAGCTCCCAGTGCAGACCAAAGGCGGTTCCCTCGTCTCATGTCTGAAGAAAGTGATGTAATCCGTGGACGCTTTATCATCCCTGAGCGTTTTGTTTGTTTGTTGTCCGCATCCTCGGTGTTTGCTCCTCAGTGACGTCTGAATTTTACAGGGGCGGGGAGGCCGCGCCCTCGCCTGACTGTTTTCTTTTGTCTAGAACGCCGGCTGCTTTGATTGCTAAGTGCATCCGTTTTTTATTGGTGAGGCTCAGTTCCGCCTCATCGGGAATGTGCATGGAATTCCGCTTCAGCCTCCTGTATCTCTCCAAGGTCCCAGGATAGAAAGGTGCGGAGTGGATCTGTATTCCGCTACCACCAAAATTGCAATTACAACGGGTTGCAATTATTGGGGAACTTTTGCGCAAGCTCGTAAAGGCTTGAGTGATCTATAGTGGAGAACCATGTCAAATGTACGCTTACAAGGTGCTGTTCGTGCATACGGAAGTCTCAGGTATCTTGCCCACAAAAGATGTATACCTCCAATCACTGCGGACAAATGGAAAAGGTTATTGATACCGCGCAGTGGTAGGAGTGGCAGAGAAGATAAAATAATGGCAGCCGGTGGGATGGAATGTTCGGTCAAAGGACATGGTGGGTGCAGCCACTGCCATTGGCTGACGTAGTTGGTTTTCCCCGAGATTTCTGTGGTGGTGGTGAGACGTGCAAAAGCAGCACTTTTGGTGCCTGGGACTGCGATTCCATGTTGTCATCCTAACTAACATTTAATTCTTGCCAATCCACAGAAAAAACACTTCCTCGAATGCTTCGAGAGCTTTGAAAAACACATCATAAGCATGCTTCCTCCGCCTAGATGACCTCCGGGCCAATGCGCAAGCTTCCCACTACCATCACCACCACCACCAAGTGCGCCGCTCCAGCAGCATCGAGATGGGCTTCCATTTGTCCCAACCAAGCCCAGTTTCTTCGCAGGCACAAGTCAACGACCGCTTCTGGTGGCGGGTCTCTGCGCCAGGTGCTCCCCAAAAGACATCTAGCACAGGTTAGGCCTGAGCCCATATCCGAAGTCTGGTTCACATCCGCTTCTCCCAGATTTGGCCCAGACGACGACTTGCTTGGGTCTCCTGCGCCTGGTAACAGCAATGACCACAAGCCGCCGGATGAACGCTTGATTAGGTTGGGAAAGAGTATGTTTTTGCCCATGACATCCACCCTGGCAGAACACTGTAGAGTGCTAACGTGGCCGTCATAGCATTGCGAATATTGTCGCCTCTCCTCCCGGACATCCTTACCAAACCACTCCCGCCCGAGATCCTGTCTCCCCATATCTCCCTTCACCTCTTCCCCTCGACCCACCCTCATCTACCCGCCGTTAAAGGGCGCGTTGCTTACCGCGCCTCTCTTTGGACTGCCCCAGTCGCCTGGGGCTGCGTGCCTATCGTGGGCAATGTAAAGCTGAGAATCCTCTCGGAGAAGATCGTGCGGACCGGTTTCTCATACGCCACCCCTCCGCCGGAGGACGAGCAAGATCTCAGCGAAGAAAAACTGGTGGTGAGATGGAAGACGGAACCCAAGACGAACGGCCACGGCGACGGCGGTCATGAGGCCACAGCCGCATCGACCACAACCGATTCCAACATCAACCGCGGCCTGTCGAAACTGCTCGGCGGGGACACCCCCATCTTCAACCTGAACAAAGGCGACGACTTTACAGGTCTCTTCATCTTCACGTTCGACTCCAAGGGCAGGATAGCGAGCCACACGATCGAACACGCCGAGCAGAGCAACGGCTTCGATAAGACGAGCAAGGTCGTCACCCTGACGGACTGGTTGTTGGGCAAGGCGAAATGGGGGCGGAACAAGGAGGACGAGCTCATTCCCGGGTTAGCCATGAGGGTGTGTCGGGACGAATGGAATCTCCGGAGGGGACTGCCTCCAAACTCCTGAAAGGGCCAACCACTCTCGGGCTGAAATTGTATATGGTTGTCGACAAGGGTCGGCCGTCCAACATAGGCGCGCACCATGAGCTCACGGATTTTTATCCAGAGCCTCAATCTTTCGAAGACGATGATGTTGAGGCAGCGCCTCCTCCACTGCTGTCTAGGTAGGAATGCACGACGAAGCAAAGCGTGTGTTTGGAGTGGCACCTCATCGGAAGCCTTGAAACAAGACAAGTGCCGCTCAACTCTACTCATCCATATCTTGTAATAGATAAATTGTGCAATAAACAACCTTACAAGAACTTCGTTATGCCCTAACCATGTCGAGGACGTGGCACTGGCAGGATCTGATGCAGATTCAGCTGGCGCACCTGATCGACATTGGTCACTTTGATCCATCCTGAGTCTATAAACCTATTAAGAGTGATATTGCTGCAAAAGCTGTTGCGCTGGCTTCCGAATTTCCTGGACAGACCTCCTGTCACTTGTTCATTGTCCAGCCAGGGAGAACAAATCGTCCCAGAGGTCTTCCATCCACAACTGAAGTCAAAACGTAGACGAGGTGGGTTCAAAGAGTCGATTCAAGAGCAAGGACCTATACGTATCAAGTCAGTGAAACTGGTCCAATGACAGAAAATTTCAGCCACAGAAGTTTCAAGGATGCGAACTCACCAGAGCTGTCCTCGTAGGAATGTAAACTTGTGTAAAGTTCTTCCTGTTATTCCACGGCATGTCGGTCGTGAAGAATCTCGTCTCTTTTGCGTTTCTCCCGTGTCCACCGAACTCGGCGTCATCTGTATCGATGACGATCCGATAAACGCCCGGTACATCCACGCCCACTCTATAATCGGTGTAAGAGTTTGTGGGATGGAAATTGAATATCCACAGGAGACCTGCTCTCTCAAAGACTAGCACTTTGTCGCTTTCATTCTTCAAAGAGATGTAGGCCTGGGGACTATGGAGCCAGCCATATTTTTCTTCGGTCCACTGCATTGTACGGTCGAATTCATTTAAGAATCTATACCGAAGAAGATGGTCTTCGGTCAGATTCAACTGTCGGCGAGCGTACCAGAAGGAATTGTCGTTGCCTGCTCGAGGGAAGTCGAGCCACTCAGGATGACCGAATTCGTTACCCTCGAAGTTGAGATACCCTTCGCCCCCCAAACCGTGGGTAACGAGGCGAATCATTTTATGCAGAGAGAGCGCACGATCAATGGTCGGTGTCAAAGGGGTCAAGACCGACATGTGCGTGTACATCTCTGCATCGGCAAGCCACATCATCAGAGACTTATCACCAACCAGGGCTTGGTCGTGGGATTCAGCATAGGCGATAGTCTTTTCCCCATGGCGTCGGTTGGTCAGGGTGAACGCAATGTTTCCGATGTCCCACTCATCGTCTTTCTTTTCTTTGAGCAGCTTGATGTACATATCAGGGACCGCCATGGCGAGACGGTAGTCGAATCCTATTCCGCCTAGCGAAAGTTTCAAACATAGAGCCGGCATTCCGGACACGTCTTCGGCGATGGTGATGCAGTTCGGGTATATGTCATGAAGCATCTCGTTGGCAAGCATGAGGTAGACCACAGCTTCGACGTCCACGGATGGACCAAAGTATTCGTGGTAGCCTCCAGAGAAGCCGGTGCCAATACCGTGATGAACGTACAGCATCGAAGTAACCCCGTCAAAACGGAAGCCGTCGAATTGGTACTCCTCCATCCAAAATCGCAGGTTGGATAGTAAGAATCGCATGACTTCGTGGTGACCGTAGTTGAAAAGTCGAGAATCCCACAGCTCGTGTCGGCCTTTTCCTCCTTCGTGAAAGTAAAGGTGGTCGCTGCCGTCGAACATATTGAGACCGTCCAGTACGTTCTTGCTTGCATGGGAATGTACAACATCCAAAAGCACGGTGATACCCATGCCGTGGGCAGTGTCGATAAGTTCTTTGAGATCCTCTGGCGTTCCATATCTGGAGCTTGCTGCGAAGAAGGAATTGACTTGATACCCGAAAGAAGCGTAGTAAGCATGCTCCATGATTGCCATCAGTTGGATGACATTGTATCCAAGATACTTGATCCTCGGGAGCATGTTCTTGGTGAATTCCTTGTACGTGGCAACCTTCAGCTCCGGGGAGGAAATGCCCACGTGTGCTTCGTAGATGCGAACGCTCTTGGGGTAAGGAGGGCGAGGATTCTTGAAGACATAACGCTCCTCTTTGGGAGGGTTCCATAGCACGGCATCGTAGACTGGGGACACTGAGAGATCTTGGGTGACTCTGGTGATCCACGCTGGAATTCTTTCAATGCGTTCTCCTCCAGGAATGACCATGGAAATCTTCAGCTTGGTGTTATGGGCAATTCCTGGGACGCCATCTTTTGCAGGGATCCTCAGTTCCCATACCCCATATTCATTCTTCTTCATTGGGTGTGACTCTCTGTTCCAGTTGTTGAACTCGCCGATCAAGGAAGCTTGTTCAGCATTTGGAGCCCACTCGCGGTAGATTATCGAGCCGTCCGGCTCGAATGTGAAGCCGAACTTTTCATATCCACGACTGAACTTCTCCAGGCCACCTTCAGTTTGATTGATCTTCTTTATCCATTCCTGGGCCTTTGCAAATCGATACTTAAGATCTTCCCGAAAGGGTTCGAGCCAAGGGTCGAGTTGTATAACGCCTAGTGACATGTGAGAGAGACTCGAGGGTAGCGGGTGAGGTTTTATACCTGTTCCGTCAGGGGGAGCTTCACCGCTGGCCGGTGCAGCCATGACGGAATTTGCAGAGTCCTGATTCAATGCCATGAGGGGCAATAACAGTGGAAGACACAACAGAAGCTAGGACAGGTTGCAATAGTCGATTAGGTCGGGTCAAGAGAATACAAGAGCAAGACGTGAAGAAATGGCAAACCCTAGAAGCCCAAAAGTATTTATCGAGCTATCCTGGACGACCGATATCTTGTTGGAGGGACTTTTGTGTCTCGAAGGGAAAAATGTTGGATGAGGTGTTTACCTGGCGCAGGCAATGAGACCACTGGGGGACTGCGGCGAAATTGTGGTTTGAGGGACTCAATAATGACATCAACCCTCAACAACTAAATTGACGTGGGGAAGCTCCCAGCCTGCAAAGTGGCCCAAGTGGTCCATACCCCTGCACCCCCGAGCCTATCAATCGCGCCCACCACTCTCTGACCCGCCACTACGGAAGGGCCGTCATCCCGACAGTTTTTCCGTTCCGAACAGTCCTCGTTGTAACCATCCAGACTGCGACTGCGCTACTCGATACTCTCGCCCTCGAGATCGCCGCCAGTCTCCATCAGTTCGATTCTTTCACTTCTATCCACCAAGGGCTTCTGGATGACCTTCTCTTGCTCATCGTTGTCTATCTTCAGCCCAATACATTTAGCGATGAAATCGCACAACAGCTCTTCTGCCTCAAGCGCATTCCTTGTCAACGCATGATCATCGTCCTCGAAGAGCTTCAATTGTCGATGGCCCTTTTTGCCGTACGCCTCGTATAGACTCTGGGAGCAGTCCCATCTCAAAGTTCGATCACCAGTACCGTGGAGCAGCAACAGTGGTCTTGGAGCCAGCTTCCTTATCCCATCTGTGCCTGCGGTTTGGCTTGCAACGGTAGCACATCCGATGACACGTTCTACTGACGTTAGATAAAGTCTACAACAGAATGCTTGACACCTACCTCGCTCTCGCCCGCCCAAGGTGAACTGCAAGGCATGGTTAGTTTCTGTGGTTACTGACAGTGTTCTCATGCCGACTGATTTTCAGCTACGATATCAGCACCCTCAAGGTAAGGGAAACTCACGACCGGGGCGCCTCCAAATGACCAGCCAACCAAAACGAATCTGCGAATAGAATACTGCTCCTCGAGATGATCCATTGCCGCAGTTACGTCTTCCACACACGGAGTGTCATGGGCCGGATAGCGATAATCGAGTCGAAGTACAGGCATACCCTGTCGAAGACTGGCAAGTTTGTCTCCCACGGAGATATACATTGAAGAAGGACCAACGACGCCTCCGCCTGCCCCAGAAAGCAATATCGCACCCGCCGGCACTTTGTCCTTGTTATCTGTATACCCTGCTGGAAGGTGAAGAAATCCATGCACACTTTTTCCTCCCACAGATATTGAAAGACATTGCGTCGTACAGAGGGACTTCTGTGCCTGTTTGAGCTTGCTTGACTTGGTTGCATGCTCGAGTAGATTCGTCCCTGTCGAAGTCATTTTGAGTTACGATGGTATATGGCGGCTTGACTCCTATGCGTATGCTCTTTGCCTTTGAGCTGGAGAGGAAATCATTCAGTCACAGTTGTGTTTTGATTCACAGCCTTACCGCGGCACATTTCGCTGGTGATATTGGTGCCTTGAGTAGGAAACGTCATGTGGCACACAGATTCCAACCAGTAGATTCGTAGAATTGCATTCCCGACAACATGAGGATTTTCTGCAGACAATTGACGTAAATTCCTTCTGCAGTTTGACTGATGCATATGCTCCTTCCCACTCACTCATTCATGGATACTGTGGCTCGTATTCGGTGCGAAGCAATATTATGCATCGAGTTGAGCAGTGAGAAGGTAACAATATCGGCAAAACTTCGGCACTTATCGCAACTTTCTGTGGCGATTTCGACATGAGGGGAGCGCAGTCACAGAGCTTCGACTTGCTATCGCATCTCCGAATAGTTGGGTTGACTCATACCACCTCTTGCCATCATTTCTCGGAACCAAGACTTCTGCATGCAAACGAGAGGTAGATATTCTGTATTCTCGGGCGCTGGCACTTGAAGCCCGTCCTCAAACAGCACCAATGCGTTCAATATTACCTCTCCCGATCTTCCTTTGCCCTGCACTTGATCGCACCTGGGTTGCATCAACCACCACGTTACCACGGCGGCTCCGTTCATCATATATTGCCTTGAGCAAGCGGTCGCTTTCGACCCGATTGCCGAGGCTGTCCTCGTCGCAATTTCACCGTTCCGATTTCGTCAATCAACCTTTCACCGGAACGTATGAGCCAGGGTTGCCTACGACTGGCCCATTAGGCGGAGCTTCGATTTATGGCTCTCCTCGCCTGACACCCAAAGCCCTGAAACAGCACCTTGATCAGTTTGTCGTCGGTCAAGAGCGGGCTAAGAAGGTGCTGAGCGTGGCCGTCTTTAACCACTACCAGAGAATACAAGAGTTGCAGAGACGTGAAGAGGAGGAGGAAGAGCTGCTTGCACAGAGGGAAAGGAGAGAGCGACATCCTGTCGAAAATGAGTTTCCCGGCCAGCAATCCACCGTCCGTATGGGCGGGCCGTCTGCTTCACTTAACCAGCGGACAGGTGGCTCGCTCTTGGTGGACACAAGTCCTCTGACCCTGGAGAAGTCAAACATCTTGCTTCTTGGTCCCAGTGGGGTGGGAAAGACATTGATGGCAAAGACTCTTGCCAGAGTTCTCTCTGTTCCCTTTTCAATGTCAGATTGCACACCCTTCACCCAAGCTGGATATATTGGCGAGGACGCCGAGGTCTGCGTGCACCGGTTGTTGGCCGCCGCCAACTATGACGTTGAAAGGGCTGAACGAGGCATCATATGCCTGGATGAAGTCGACAAAATAGCAACAGCGAAGGTCAGCCATGGAAAAGACGTGTCGGGCGAAGGTGTCCAACAAGCACTTCTGAAGATCATCGAAGGGACTACCATCCAAATTCAGGCGAAACCTGAGAGGAATGCTCCTCGGGCAGGTGGTCAGTCGCAGACGTACCCGACTAACAGTCCTTTGGGCGCCGGCTTCTCCTCTGGATCATCGGGCGCTTCGGCTGCTCCAGCGAAAGGCGAGGTCTATAACGTACGAACGGATAATATCCTCTTCATCTTCAGTGGTGCATTCATCGGACTTCAAAAACACGTTATGGACCGCTTGACAAAAGGAAGCATTGGATTCGGGGCCAGCGTACGATCTAGCTCGAATCTGGTCTCCTACAGCCGTGATCAGAAATCTACCACAATTACTCCTGTCCCTATCTTACCGGGATCTCAAGAAGAGGCTCTCTACAAGAAACATCTGCCCTTCTTCACCCCGGCACCAGCGCCAGAGCAGACAAATATGGATGGCTCTCCTCCAGAACCAAACTACTTCAACCCGCTCGACCTAGTCACCCCAGCCGATCTGCAGTCCTACGGCTTCATCCCCGAGCTTATTGGTCGTATACCGACTACTACTGCTTTATCCGCCCTCACCCATTCTATGTTGCTGCGAATCCTTACAGAACCCCGCAATTCGCTAGTGGCACAATATATCACGCTGTTCTCACTCTCTGGCATCGAACTCCGCTTTACTACCCCGGCTCTTCACGTGGTTGCTTCGAACGCCTTGGCGATGGGTACAGGAGCTCGAGCTCTACGAACGGAGATGGAGACCATCCTCGGCGATGCTATGTTCGAAGCACCCGGAAGTAGCGTCAAATATGTTTTGGTGACTGAACGTGTAGCAAAGAGGGAAGAAGGAGCCATCTACTTTGGGAGAGGTCAAGGTGGCAAATTCCATGCTCTTATCGCCCAGGAGGAGGGCGACTGGGAAGACAAGCAGAAAAAGAAAGACCCTGGCCGGAAAGGCGAGTCTGTGTCCGCCAGCTTCGAGGATTGGAGAACGAAGACGACAGTAGCTGCTGGAAGCGGCGGCTGAGATCCGCCACACTTGACAGCCTTGATGAGATGATGACTGATGACGAATGACGAGCATCGAATCAGTTACGATGATCGAGCAATTTATTTGAGATTTCCAGGATTTGCCTGTAAATCGACTTGCCTGGACCACGAACATGAGAATTAGAGGACTGAAGCCGAGTTGTATCCTGTTGAGTGCCAGACATCTTCCTTCGGCAGCCTTGCCTTTCTTGCCATCCAGCCAGGATTGTACCTCACCTTTGGGCCGGACACTTCACACACCTCCTTATCCTCGTCGCCAAGGAGTCGACCTCAATCTAAGCGGGTCCTTTCAACCAATATACAGGAATATATTTTACAATTGCGAAATATCTATCGCCTTTGGGCAGTGCGACACCGTGACCACCTACGGACAAGAGCTGATTACAGCCACAAAAGTGGACTCACCCAGCGACTGCGGAGTCTTGCTGGCTGCATGGTTGTATGACCATGTGGTGACGGCGTTACGACCATGAGGCATAGGGTAAAAATCCGAAAACCCCCTAGCGGGCTGTCTGCTAACTCCCGGGATCTGATCCGCAGGGAGGCACGGAATTTTTTGCCCCCCTGGGGTTCAATTCTGGCTGTGGACGTGAGATTTTCCTCCTGGTCGGATTTTTTGGGGCTGTTTTCAATTATCACGTTCCCTTTGTGGGGTGTCGCAGAAGGTGTGGCAGGAACTGGTGTCATACTGTGGACCAAGGAGATCACGGCGCATCGCTGGGGTGACAGACTCACCAGCAGGTGGAACGAATCGAATTGACAAGGTTTACTCGTGAGTTTTCCAGCTTTACAAAACACTGGCTTGACATTGAGATTACCTTTCGCCAGTATCGTGAGAGCAGGACAGCTTTCCTTTAGGAGTCGAGGTCATTCGTGTGGAAAGGACTAGCTAGCATTTTGAGGATTGGATCATTGTGTCGGCCTAAGACACGATGCTCAGACTCGCAACAAGGGTTTCCTTTTTCAACGGAGGACGACTTCCCTTGAAAATGCTCTTCGACAGGCTGAAAGGAATACGGGAGAGAGCCAGCCACCTGTCTCTAGTCTGAAGAGATACCCGAGGCATGGATACGACCGACTTACTAAGAATAGGCCAATGCCCATTGTCCAGAGTGTGGTCGTCTGACTGTCGACGAGCACCACGGAGGCACCAAAGGCACACAATACATGTACATACACATCGTCCAGCATTTACCGAATTTGACATGACTGCTTGTTGATGTATTGGGGGGAAGGATGTCAGAGCCTAGTACTAGATCTCTTTCGTCTTGAAAGCACAATAACACAGAAATGCCGATATAGCCAGTTTCCAGTGTGTATATATTAGCTATGAGGAAGGGGTATACAGCTTTACGGAACATGACGTTTCGTTGTTACCCACCCAAAGGATTCTTCGCGAACCACTCGTGCTTCAGGACGTCCTGGGTCGACATTCGATTCTCGGGCAAGTAAAACATCATCTTGGACAGCAGATCGGCGAGCCTCTTGATATCGTCCTGGGTAAATTCCGCCTTTCTCTCGGGGATACTGCTGCTACCGAAGTAAACCTCACCAAGCCAGCTTGACAGGGAACCCCCCCCCCCCCCCCACCCAAACCCCCTCTACCTCATCGCGACAATCACCCACAGCTACCTGCGCCTGCGTCCCCCATTGCTCCGGCACGTCTCCAAACATTGCGATCCACTCCAAGACCAAGGGCGCCTTTCTCGGCTTGAAATTATCGAACGGCGGCTGTCCCGTGACGAGTTAGAAGATGGTGCACCCCAGAGACCAGATGTCTATGCGCAGATCCCACGTCGTGTCGAGCAGCGTCTCTGGGACTCGGAAAGCCAAGTGGGAGCAGACTTTTGCGAGTGGCTGCTGGTCGGTGTGGAGGAATGCTTGCTCGAAATCGATGAGGCGTGTGTGGATAGGGCCGTCGATGGAGGGGAGAGGAAATGTAGCTGCTGGCTCGACGATGTGTCGTGGGACGCTCCTGGTAAGCTGGTGAGTTGGTGACCAGGTAGGGCAGTGATATCTGCCTGAACTGGCGGGTTGAGATGTTTTAGTGAGGTCGGGTTGGAGAATTGTCCCTCCCCGTGCGAAACCAAGGTGTTGCTGGCTGGTATAGAGATCTGGGAACATTCTTAGAATATGACTCCTGCGAAGAGACTTCCAGAAGGCGAGCAATATCACTCACCACCATGTACAATACCATTCAAGCGCAGGCGATCCAATGCAAGGGTGATTTGTTTTGACACCTGCCAGGCCAGACGCCCGGGCAGCCTCACACCGTTACCAGATCGAGCAGTAAGCGTCGGAACACTGACGCCGTTGACATCGAAAACGAGACCCTAATGTCTTCCGTTCGGACCATCGTGGAAGAAGTAGTCGGTCAGCTTGTGCAGATGGCGGCGGTCCTGCTCGTGCTTTGCTGGAAGCGAAGCAATTTATTGCAGAATCCGAACTTCATTACTGCCCGCCTCACTGATCTCTGAGACGACGACTTTCAGCGCGGCGAGCCGGCAGTGCACCGAGTCGTAAACCAGCCAGACGGTCAACAATCACTAGACATGATCGCGCGTGGCGGGACAGAGGCAGGGATTCCCGCCACAGACATTCTCTGCGTTTGTTGGGACGGGATCATAGCCTGCAAAGTCGACTTGTCCCATTTCTGGACCTGCTGCCTATCGTTGTCAGGCACTTATTTGCTCAGAAAATTCGAAAAAGTCCACTCGTAACACGCCAGCATGCCCTGTGTAGGGTGACCAGTGCGGCACCGAGGGTTGGTATAGAGACGAAGGCAAACGGGAGGGCCGCTCTGGCCGCCTAAGCCGAAGACGGATGTTCCGCTAGTGACGTGATGTTCGTAATTACAGATCAAGCTCCGGCCCCCACTCTTTGTATACTGAGACATATAAGTATAGGAAATATATGTGCCCTCTTTGTATATCTTTACATACATACAACCTCCCTCTCCCTCCCCTCCCCTCAACCTTTGCCAGATTCTACTACCAAAAACCAAAAAAATTAAGACCTTTTTCGAATACCAAAAGTCCGCCAACCATGTCTACGCCACGCGTGCTCATACTCGGCGGGCACGGCAAAGTCTCTCTCTTCCTCCAACCCCTCCTCCTCGCCAAGAAATGGTCCGTCACCAGCGTGGTGCGCAACCCGGCGCACGAGGTCGAGATCCTGGCGCTCGGCAAGGACAAGCCCGGCAAGATCGAGGTGTTGGTGGACAGTCTCGACGACGTCAAGGAGGTTAGTGATGCGCAGCGCGTGTTGGAGAAGGTCAAGCCGGATATCGTCGTGTGGAGTGCTGGTAAAGTTCATCTCTCATCTCATATTGTCTTTCAAAACAAACTCCTGCTTAAAGTCGCACTGTGCTATTGACCCCCATGGGGGCGAGTATATTGTGTATTGACGACGGAGTGCATTGACTAGGCGCCGGCGGCAAGGGCGGACCGGAAAGGACAAAGGCTGTTGACATGATCGCCGCAAAGTGCTACATCTCGGCATCGCTGGCCATGCCGGGGGTCAAGAAGTTCCTGATGGTGTCATACCACGCAGTAAGTTGCTTTCCCAGTTCACACCCTAGCAAATCAACCCCTCGCAGACTCTTCCACTAACAATTCCCGCGTTGCAGTCTCGCAAGGGTTATCCGCCATGGTGGACCGAGGAAGACCGGAAAGCCGCGGACAACATCAACCAAAACGTCCTGCCGCACTACTTCCAGGCAAAAGTAGAGGCGGACGAGCACCTCGAAGCCCTCGCGAAGAAGAGACGGGACGGCGGCGACCAAGAGTTTCAAGCCATCAACTTGAGACCAGGCACTTTGACGGACAGGCCAGGCACGGGCAAGGTGACGCTAGGCAAGACGTCGATAACTGGGAGTAAGTACTACAAGTTTCCCCGTTTCTTCATTCCTCCTGTTTTCGCTGACGAGTCTCCACCAAAACTCTCAGATGTACCGCGCGAGGATGTCGCCAAGGTGGCCGCGGCGCTGTTGGATCGGAACGATACGCGAGGCTGGTTTGATCTGCTGGAGGGCGACGTCCCCATCGAAGAAGCAATCGACAGCCTCGTCAAGAGCGGGCACAACGGTCTGGAAGGAGAAGACATGCAACGGATTTGGGCCAGAGATACGTCTCTATAAAGGAACCGTCAAAATCAGGCAAAACCCATGTAATCGACGAAGCATTTGAGATAATTTCACCCTACCAGTTTGTTCCCAATTCGACAAAAAGCCCTTGTCAATTCCTAACATGTTCTGATATAGCTGGTGAAAGACAGCATTCGTCAACAAGGCTGTCCGGATTATGTATGGCCCACACGAGGCTGTCATGCCTGCTGCTTCCCCGCTCACGGGATCAGCTTCATGTTGCGTCACGATAATCCATCTCCAAATCTTACAAATGATGGGGATGGAAAGATAAGTCAAACGTAAAGACATTCTCCTTCGAACTCGTCGCCTTGTTAGAAGAAGATCCTTTTTTGGCTCAGAAAGCACATCGGAATCATGGGTTCAGTCTCACATCCCGACGCAGATATCTACCCAGAGGCAACAGGCCCTGCAGCCAAGATTGTCGCGGCGCATCAAAAGGACGAGCCCATCACTTTGTACTCGGGATGGTTTTGTCCCTTTGTGCAAAGAGCATGGATCACTCTTGAGGAGAAGCAGATTCCGTACAAGTATGTCGAGATCAATCCATATCGGAAGGAACCAAGGTGTGTGTCACATCACTGCATGTCATTGGAACGCTTTGTGCCAACTGGAGACAGTTTTCTGAAGCTCAACCCGCGAGGTTTGGTCCCTACATTGGGATGCCCTCAAGAGGATGGGTCGACCAAGCCATTGATCGAGTCCAATATCATCTGCGAGTAAGTCATGATAGCCACCTGGCTGAAGAGACTGCTCTCAGCTGACACCATTAGATATCTGGAAGACATGTATCCAAACCAGACACCTTTGTGGCCGCGCGACCCCTACAAAAAAGCTGTCATGAAAGTCTGGGTGGATCACATCACGACCAGGATCCTACCGGCATACCACAGGTATTTATTGATGCACCCCAGTCTGCACTCGACATCTCACAGCAGTATAGGGTCCTGCAACACACAGAGAAAAGCCCGTATCCCTTGGAGAAAGCACGCACCGAGCTTCTGAACGCCCTGAAGACATGGATTTCCAACGCTGATCCTGAAGGTCCATATTTTATGGGCAAAGACTTCACTTTCGGCGACGTAGCACTCGCACCCTGGGCCGTGAGGATGTGGGTGCTCGACCACTTCAAGGGTGGCGTGGGCATACCCCCTCCAGGTCAGGGCGGAGAGGACGAACAACTGTGGAATCGATGGCGGAAATGGTTTGATGTCGTATCGTCGAGGAAATCAGTGACCGAGACCATGAGTGACAAGGAGCACTACTTGCCTATATATCAGCGTTATGCCGAAGACAGGGCGATGAGTGAAATGGCCAAAGCGATTAGAGAAGGAAGAGGGGTGCCATGAAATGATCGAGCAGGGGAATGCATATCGATGGGACTGGAATACTTGTCGTACCACCCGAACATCATTTTTGGCGCGGAGTGGCAGAAGTAGAAGTACAAAGACTTGGTCTTCGAGAGCCATAATCCTCAATAGTCAGGTGCTCGGAATGCACGAAGTGTCACAACACCTACAAACACAGAGGTACCGAGTACGTTACAAGGAGTCAGCCCTACCAGCACCTCCGTCAAACCTCCACGCTAAGTCAAAATATTTCCGTCACAGTCGGTGTAAAGGATCAACAACATATATCGCCCCGTACCAAACAAGCTAGGAAATACCAAGTCAGCACCTCAGGTGGAACAACGTGCATCTGGAGCTATACCTCGTTGATCCTCACGTACATCTTTTTCCTTTGTCAAATAAATGACTGAGAATGTCATATCTGATACACTTTTTCCAGCTAGAACATTGCCTTTTTCTAAGGTCATGCTCGAGGCTACTCGGAAAGGGCAAGAAGTAGATGCAAGGACAAGTAAAGAACCCCCCAAGTCGAGTCTCAATCTCAATGGGCTCACTCTAGTTGCTGAGTTGAGTGGGCTCCCCCGCAATGGTGGGCTGTGCGATGTGTACTCTGCCCCTCGAATCTCAGCATGTCGGCTTAGCTTCAGGAGTACAGAGTTAGTCTAATGGAAATCCGGATGGCGAGCTGCGATCGGAACCCATTCGACATTCCGATTCGAGATTTCACTGTACCAGAAACAAAGCGTAACCCTGCCGCTATCGATGATGGACCGCCAAGGGGATGTAGACCTACTATGTATCGTGGGTGTATAGCGTCCTCTCTCGTTTCATAGCTAGTTCCTTCCTCTACCTACGTATGTAACTGAGAATCTCACCCTCTACCAGGTTCAGGTGACCTGCACCGATCTGTGAGATTGGAGTGTTCCATCTGTGACAGCGGGTATTTGTCTTCATTCTGTTGAGAGGGCTATGGAGCAGGCGCCTCATCAAACACCACATCAAACCCTTCCCAACCATCAAGTGCTTCATTGCAGCGTTGTATGTAGACATCTGTGCCACCAATCCATGGCAGCTGTTCTCGAGGCTTGCCGGGAATATTAGTCCCAATATAGTAGTTGCTTCCATCTGCGTATAGCGTCTGTGAGCAGTGGTCTTGGATTGTCTGTCGCCATTTTTTAGCCGGACCAGCCTGAGGCTCGACGTATTTGATGCCCTCTGACTTCATCTTCGACAAAGCTCTACAGATCCACTCGACCTGCGTTTCGATGATCGGCAAAGTGCTGCCCAGCGCCGCGGGCGACTGTGGTCCGTATGCATAAAACAGGTTGGGGCACCCTGGAATGCTCAGCCCTAGATGCGTTTCGCAACCTTTTGCCCACTTCTCTTTGAGATGGAGGCCGTTTTTATCTCGAATATTCATGTTCGTCAGACCGCCCGTCCAGAAATCGTAACCCGTGGCGAAAAGTACGACGTCCAGCTTGTGTTCAGTCCCGTCTGTGGTAACTATCCCATCGGCAGTGAAGTGGTCGATTGGATTCTTCTTCAGATCTACCACCGAGACGTTCGGCCTGTCGATGGATTCGTAGTAATACTGCTCCAAGCTAGGCCTCTTTGTGCCTATCCAATATGGCTGTTGCTCGGGTGCCACAATGTCCCGTTTGACTGGGTCCGACACACGAGCTCGGGTTCTTTCCTTCCAGAAGTCGTAGAATGTTCTGTTGACTTCCTTATCAAAGACAAACTCGCCCGTTGTTGACAGATGGAAAGTGAATCCCCCTCGGCGCCACGCATTTTCCATCAGCCTAGCAGAAATTTCGGGGTGAAGCTCGTTCCAACGCACCGAAGATGGCGGGTTGTACGGGTAGCCAGAGGCGGTGTGCCGTCCAGCTCTTAGGATACAGTCGTAGAAGCTCTTCGAGATGTTCTGCTCGAATACATCAAAGGTCCTTTGTCCCATTGGATAAGCGGTATTGATGTTCCGTATGAAGGCTGTAAGCTGGCAATCTTCCCTGGCGATCTCTTGAATGCATTGGACGCCACTTGCGCCATTGCCGAGCACAGCAACGCGTTTCCCTTTCAAGTCCAGATCTTCTGGGTATTCGGCAGAGTGTACCAAGAGACCTTTGTAGTTCTCAAGTCCCCGGAATTCTGGGTAGTGCTTTTGGAAAGCGAACCCAACACAGGGAAGAAAATACTTGCAGACGTAGTTGGGACCATCCTGGGTGAAGATGTTCCATTCACCATCTTCCCAGGTGGCGCCTTGGACAAGCGTATTGAAGGTTGTGTCCTTTTCCAGGTCGAGGACTTTCGCGACGTGAGCAAAATATGCCCTCAGCTCATGATGATCCGGGTAACGGCATGACCAGTTCCATGTCTCGTGGATTTCGGGGATGTTGAGTTGATATGTCGGCATTTCAGAGTCAACTCTCGCTCCAGGGTAGCGGTTCCAGTGCCATACACCACCATATCCGCTCCCTTTCTCGATAAGCTTGACAGACAGGCCTAACTTTCTGATCATGTGTAGAGCGTAGACGCCCGAAAATCCGGCGCCGACGATAAGAACATCCGTGCGGATGGTGTCTGGGGCGGTTGAACCCATGATGCAATTCGATCGCTCTAACTGGAATGAAGAGAGTATGCAACTGAAGAAAAACTCTGGCATACAAGGAGCATATAAAATCCCCTTATGTGGTGGGCTATACTTGATCTTGTTTTCCGACGCGGAATTCTCGACGCGGTGTGAGGATATGTACTCGTCGTAGCTATGTCTGACATGGCTCGGAAACCCGTTCAGGTCACGGAATCTCAACTTTTTTCACGGATCGCTTTCGTGTACTACAAGTTTCCATCCCAGTGGATATGACGGAATCTCATCTGTTTCACTGATGACTTTCACGTACCACAAGATTCACCCCTACCGCTCGTCTCACCTGAACAGCACGATTTACCTGACGATTCGAAAAGTCCCATAATGGCAGTACCACAACAATTCAAGTGCTACATTGGCGAAGAGCGTCTGGCAAAGCTCCAAAAGAGACTGGAACTTACCGAGCTTCCCAGTGAATTGGAGGGAGTAGAGCCATGGACACGAGGGACGCCATTGTCGGAGATCCATCGTCTGCATGAATATTGGATGCGTGGTTTCGACTGGCGCAAAGCTGAGAGAGATATCAACCTCTATCCGCAATTCATTAGTGAGATAGAGGTTGAAGGGTTCGGTGCCCAGTCGGTCCATTTCATGCATGTCAAGAGCAACAACGAGAACGCCATCCCTTTGTTATTCGTCCATGGATGGCCTGGGAGCTTCCACGAGGCTTCGAAGATTGTTCCTCTCCTGACGGCGGTCTCGGACGACTTCCCTTCCTTTCATGTGGTGGCGCCCAGTCTGCCATCATTCGGTTTCTCCGGCTCGGTCCAAAAGGTATGTTCCCTCCCTCACATTGAGCCAAGCGAGGACAGCATGTCGATAAAACTCTTAAAGAAAGGATTCCATAGCGGGAAGCATGCAGAAGCACTACATAAACTAATGCTGTCTCTGGGATACACTCAATACGGTGAGAGTCATTTACCCCTGACCATACCTATGCTGCTTTTCGAACTGGCGGAGCTGATAGCTATTCTGTGTATGCAGTTACTCAGGGAGGTGACGTGGGCCACTCGGTAACGCGAATGATAGCGTACAGTTATCCCGAACACTGCAAAGCTCACCATCTGAACATGGTTGTCGCCTCTCAACCGAGCGAGGATCAGTTTCCGCAACTGGTGGAGAAGATCAAAAAAACACCAATTTCGGAGCAGGAGCAGATGGGCCTCGATCGCTCTCAGAAGTTCTTCAGCGAAGGAATGGCTTACGCTCTGATGCATGCGCAGCGCCCCCAGACTATAGCTTACAGCATGGTAGATAGCCCTATCGGCCTCCTTGCATGGATCTACGAGAAACTACATGCTTGGACGGACGCATATCCCTGGACCGATGACGAGATTCTGACGTGGGTTTGCACTTATTATTTCTCGACCGCTGGACCTCATGCACCCGCGCAGTGGTATCACGAAAACTACTACTCCGAGTGTGTTAGTACCGTGACAAAGTACATCGATGTCAAGCTCGGTGTGTCCAGGTTCCCACTTGAGATCGTGCAGATGCCGCGGCTGTGGGCGCACACATTGGGCCCGATAGTGTTTGAACGGAATCATGACGCCGGTGGTCATTTTGCGGCTTGGGAAAGGCCACAGGCTTTGGTCGATGACTTGAGGGAGATGTTCGGAAAGAATGGAGGAGCTTTTGAATGCGTGGTTGGCAAGAGTGGATACAAGACAGGATGAGGGCCAATATATGTAGATCTCATGCTAGCCGATATCCTTCTACCTTGACCTGGTCATTACTGTTCCTTCGAGGCAGGCCGCGCACACAGCCCCGTATCCTGCAGTGGTGCAACTACCGAATCGACCCTCAATTCTCACAGATGGTGAAGCCCCTCGTAACTGTCAGCAAGTCTGTTCACAGGGAATATCACGCAGTGCAACTGACCCGTCCACAACCAGATTCTGGCCGATTACCAGGCTTCCGCGTGTAGATGAAAGCATAACTACCGCATCGCCTATATCTTCAGGCACAGCGGTACGGCCCTGGCGGGCCTCGATGGCTTTCCAATTGGCCTCAGCTTCTTCGGGAGACATTCCCAGGTCAAGACCTTGGACGAGTTGGGTGGCTATGAAGCCAGGCGAGAGTGAATTAACCCGAATCCCGTGCCTCCTTCCCTCTAGTGCAGCCTGGTGTTTGATCAGAAGGTCAGCCTGGTCTCGATGAGGAGGATAATCTGGGCTTTATAGATCGTACTGCTTTGGTTATCCCTGCCACGGCGTGCTTCGAGGCCGTATACGCGCCCGAACCCTCAGCGGACATGATTGAATTGACAGAAGCGCAATTCACAATCGATCCGCGACATGGAGCTCGGCCAGGTTCACTGCCGCAGAGAAAGAGTCAGCATGGATCCCGCGTCATGGATGCGATGTTTCGTTGAATGCTGGTTACAATTCCACGGCTTCTTGCTTCATCATAGCCTTGATCAGTTGTGAAGTACAGATCCACACGCCGATTGTGTTGACTTCAAGCACTTTCCGCACCGTTTCGATTGAAGTGGTCCACATGCGAAGATTGATTGGTCCCACAATACCTGCAAAGTTGCTGTACGGGTGTTAGTCCTCCTGTCGAGACAAGTCGTTCATGGATCTAAAGAGACACGAACGCAGCATAGTCGATTCGCCCAAAGGTTGTTATTGTCTCCTCAATCGCACGAGCAACATCGTCTTCTTTGGTAACGTCGGCTTTGATGGCGATGCACTGCGCAGATGAGAGTGGTTACACATGGTCAGAGACTGGGACGATGACAGCAAACTGCAATGCGGTCTTTAAACAGTATTACTGACTCGAGCTCCGTAGGTCTCGACATTCTTGCGGCCTGCTTCGAGCAGATCATCGCTCAAAATATCGACGATAACAACCCCTCGTGCGCCATCCTTTGCGAAAGATACTGCAATCGCATTGCCCAAGCCGCGTGCGCCGCCGGTTACGAATGCGACTCCAGGAGTCAGGGGTCCAGAACGAAAAACCATCTTTCACGGGAAAGGTAGATTACCCTGCAAGGATTATTCGAGGGTTTCTGATACCAGCACGCCGAGGGTTGAAGTACCTTCTTAACGTGACCTCTGAAATGGCTCGTAGTATTCAATTTGCGTCCAGAATCGAAGGATACGACTGGGTTAAATTCCGAGTTTTGAATTCCGGTGCAGCAGTGCTGGGCTGGCTCGCCTTCCATGATGGCTAGAGCTTGGCCATCCTCGGGTTGTTTGCTAGTCTTCGTGAGACTGTGCCCTTATGTATTGATATGTGATCATTACTCGGGGTTTATTGGGGAAATGAAAGCCGTCACACTGACGAAGTGTTGATTGTTACGCTGTGTATATCTGCTTGCCTTCCGTTCAAGCACTGTCCTAGGATTAAATTAGTGTTTGAGATGCCACCGGTTACTGTATTACCGACACGAGAAAGTCGAGCTGCTCGTGTCGACTTCAGAGGGACGGTCCTGACTATGATGGCGAGATATCCACACTTGAAGAACCCATCCCGCTACCGCTAAGGTAGGCTCCAGACCGGGGGAACAGATATCCGCGGTAAGGAAGACGTCCTCTTCAACCTGACGCGAGGGACGAGTGTGATTCTAGCATACACGGGCCGTGGCCTTGATTTTTTCCTAATTGTACGTCTGATTGGAGTCCTGGCTTTCCCGGGTCGGGGAATGCTTCCGCGGTCCCTGAGTAGACAGTCGTTCCCGTTATAGTCCCGACGGTGATTATCGAGTTCGGAATTGGCCGCTTCGCCCTTACAAGAGTACACCCAACGTAGAACGAGGGTGGCGGCGTGGGCGTCGTAGATTGCGCCAGAGTTGTAGGAGGTGGCAATAGCGGTATTAGGGGTCTGACATCTCAGAGGTCGGGGCCGAAGGGTTTTAGGCTTGGAATTGTTAGAGATATCTGAAGTCGTTCCCCTGATCTCCCCTTCTCCCCTTCTCCCCTTGCGTGACACGCTTTCCAGGGTAGTATGTCTGAAGCCCTCTGAGAGCAGGAGGTTTCCCAGAGGGTTGGTCGGAGATCCTCACGACTGTGTGGCCCTGCCCGGCGTCGAAAATGCGACCGTGTCGTTGCCCCCACCCAACGTATGGAGAGGTTTTGGTGTCGGTATTATCGAAAACCGGTGCCGATGGATCGGTAGGGAGAGAAGCGACGAGATGGAAGGTACCTAGAAGAGGGAGTGATCTTCTCCTTAACATATCTGCGGCCGACGCTGCTCTTGTTGGCGCAAGCGATTGGTGGTTTCGCCTGACGGCAGGGTGACATCACCTCGTTACCGAATGGGGGTTTTTTCCCAATCCTTGGCGCGTTTCGCGTTTCGACAGCGGCGACTGCACATTGCTTCCTATGTATGTATGTATTCCTGCTCCCACGGCCTCGCTCTCGATGCCCTTACCTTTGTCCTACGGCAAGGCCCATTGAGGTATGGCACAGGGACTAGTGATCATCGATACCGGTTGACGCAGGGGCGTTTCATGTGCGATCGCTGAACCAAGATGCCACGCGCCCCTCGAAGAGCAGCGCATCAGGCTCGCAACAATGAAGTCACGACGACACCGACACGCAATGCCCTGACGGCGGAAATCCCACCCTTTATGCTCGAAACACCTCCGCATGCTCCCTTCATCACGACCCCTTTGCCACCGTCGAATAATCCAGGCAACTCCATTGTTCCAGAGACCAATCCCGCGCGCCAACACGGTCGGACCGAACCAACACCGACCGCTCATGGAGCTGGTCACATTCAGAATGATGCCGAAGAGGCACAGGCGTCGCAGAATGCCCTCGGTTCAACGGCTTCGGAAGGTGGCCATGCAGATGAGCAGTCGTTGCTCGAATCTGTTCACCATGATATCGAAGATGCCCGACAACTCCAGGGTTTGCGAGATATCTCGTCCCTAGCAACGTGGACGTTGTCCTCCACAAAACCCGGCTGCGGACTGCCTCAACTGCGGAACCCGAGTCCAAATTTATTCTGGCAGAGCGACGGACCACAACCTCATACGTTAACCTTACACTTCTTCAAACTTGTTGCTATTGTCAAAATGAGAATCTATTTGGACTTTGAGCTTGACGAGTCGTACACACCTACGAAGATGAAGTTTTACGCGGGCATGTCAGAAGGCAGTTTGGTTGAGTTTGGTTCATGGGAAGTCACCGACACTGTTGATCCGGAGACGGGGGAGGCACACAGTAGCATCGAAGGCCTACGGGGCTGGATTGATGTGCCACTGAAGGGAGTTGGTGGAAGGGAACCACGGTACTATGGAAACTCGGACATGATTGCTAGTCAGGGGGAGCCCACACTTTATCCCCTCAGAGCAGACCGTCAGGAGAATCCAGGGGGGGATGTGCTGAAGGCGATGGTGGTCCAGATTCGTATTTGTGAAAACCACCAAAATGGCAAAGACACTCATGTTCGGGGATTCCAGGTGTTTGGACGAGACTACAGCCATCATGCAGAGACGAAGAGCCATGCGAGAAGGATTAGAGGCAGCAAAGAGAAGCAGACGCTAGGAGGTGATGACGGTGGCGAACGAGTTGCTGGGCTGTCTATGGCAGACTGGATGGGTGATCCAGAGATACGATAGATGCTGCATGACTTTGATGACTTTTGCCACGACACGGCCGTTACCGATTGAAAGCATTAATGGGCAAACTGGGACGAGCTGCTGGATCACTACTATAATCCTCACAAAACTGTTTCGAATGACGATCTGCGGACTGACTGGTACTGGGGTTGCCATCGATGAGCACAATTCATACGAAGCACACAGCGCACATTGCACACTGCACTTTGCACACTTCAGGCTGCGGGCCTGCGACCTTCACTCTTCATTCTTCACTCTTCGCTCTTCACCTTTCACACACAACCGCCGAACCACATTCTCCTGCGATTTCATCTTTCTCCGCCACTGTTCAGACTACACTCCTCATCCTCGGTCTAAACAGTCACCTAAATAGCATGCAAAATGGTCAGCCTACGTGTATCAATCCTGCTTCTACTCTGTTTCGCCATCTGCTCGCCATTGTGGTTCCTTGTAGATAAGATCCCCCAAGGTCAGCATCACTCGGGCCAGGTTCACTCTGGAACGATGCTAATGAGCTTACTCCAGATACGTGGGTCAAGAATCGTTGTGACAGTCTCCCTTCCCAAGCTCGAGCAACGTCGACGACAGATCGAGTGCCAACCTCTTCAAGCTGCATGCTGCAGCCCTACAGCTCGACCAAGATTCAGTCTTGCCTCTCCGACCAACGCCTCATCTTCTTTGGTGGTTCAAAAGCGCGCCAGATATTCTGGACTGTGGCAGAAAGGTTGGACCCCAATGATTCTCAGATTCCCAGCAAGAGTCTTAACGCCAAAATCGAAGCCACTACAAGATTCAACTCAGCCGGGACGGAAATCATTCATGTTTGGGACCCAACATTCAACTCGACCCGCCATGCCCTCGTGGGCTGCAGGCCAACAGAAAAGGACTACGCTCCTGCAGACTACCCATGGATGATTGGCGACGTTCACTTCTTTTTCCAAGAGGATGGCATTCATCTCACGGATGAGGCTGCACCCCTTCATGCCGACATTGTATTGAATTACTTCTGCAATAAGCTCATCGGTACACCATCGAAAGGCTCTCAAGCATACTGTTGTGCCTCTTATGTCGGCCCAAACATGGCGCAGAAGCTACTGCTGTTCATGAGCTCGTGTGCGATTGTCTATCACCTCTTTTCGTTCTTTGGCTCCAGAAAACATACCGATAGCCATGACAGAGACTGGCTCTTCTTCCACGAAGCCCCCAGAACCATGGGTGCAATGACTACAATTTCCGTTGCCGTACTGTACTGCTTCATAGCCGATCGTACCGTCTTGTTCGACAAAGCTTCGAAAACGGTAGAGGTGGGCAAATTTATAGGCGGGACCATCCTCACGCTGCTCGCAGGCCTGGCAACCTTCAAACAAAGTCGGCCTCATTATGCGACAACCGGTGAGATAGCACTTCCAGAACACCGCCAATTACTTTCCAGGCAGCAAACAGAGGAGTGGAAAGGCTGGATGCAAATCATCATCCTGTCGTACCACTACTTTGGCTTGTCGAAAGTCCTCTGGGTCTATCAGTTTGTCCGGCTGTTGGTCTCATCTTACCTCTTCATGACTGGATTTGGTCACACCTATTATTTCATCACCACGAACGACTTCTCATTTCACAGGGTGGCTAGTGTCTTGCTGAGGACGAATCTACTTAACGTCATTCTCGCTTTCGTCATGGGGACTCGATACGACCTGTACTATTTCCCCATGCTGACCAGCTTGTGGTTTCTCATTGTCTGGGCAACAGTCCCCAAGACTGCGACACCTGGCGTGGATATACGTCGTTTCGTCCGTCGAACTGCCATATCCGTGTCGTTGGTCAGGGTCACTCTAGGAGCTAGCGATAGCATTGCGGCAGTCCTTGCTACGATCTGTCCTCCAGGCTGGGGCCTTCCTGAAATCGACGGACAAGAGTTCCTTTTCAGATTCAGCCTTGACGCCTACATTGCATTCATTGGCATGATCACGGCTATGCTGTATGTACAGTATGACACTTCCCATGGCCTCCAGTGCCATAAAACTGCTATGGAGACCGTCCCTTGGTCGCAGCTCGCTTCACGACTGACGACATGGGGTGCTGCGTTTGTTATTTTGGCATACTCGATATTGTGCGGCTTTTTCCCAGACAAGTTCCGCTACAATGAGTGGCACCCCTTTCTCTCGCCGTTTCCTGTGCTAGCTTTTGTTGTCCTTAGGAATTCGACTCGAAAATTGTCAGCCTCCCACAGTCGACTCTTTGCATGGTTCGGTCGATGTTCTCTGGAGACTTTTGTCTTTCAATACCACACCTTACTTGCTGCCGACTCCCGCGGCGTGCTCCGTCCAAGACTCGCCTGCAAATTCCTCGGTCGGAAGGCTTGTCAAGGCATGTTCGATGCTTTGGAGACAACAATGGTTGTAGCGGCGTTTCTTTGCATGAGCGCTGTTACGACAAATGCTCTCTCTACCATCACCAAGAGTCTTGTTGGTCTCGGAGGTCGGATACTGTTAACTCTCATCGGCTTGTGGATACTCAACCTGTCGTGGAATTCATTGGCCGTTGACACCACATATTAATACTGGTGGGAGATCACCAAACATGGCACTTGCTACCTCTACCCACTTGGTTAATTCCGCCCTTGGAGGCTCACCTTGCCAGATTTAGAAAAGTCTTCTCCAATTCCCAAGCCTTTTCCTACTCCACATTCTCGGTACGTTTCCTCGAATGTTACCTGGCGGCGGAGAAGAACGCACTTGACGTTAAGTTTTTTATGACCTTGTGTACCAGATGAGTCAATGATTGAAAGGGCATGCAATTCATGACATGGCCGGACTGGGACCCAGTTGAACAGAGTGTCGAATGTAAGGGCAGACTGTGTGTCCGATATCGTACCTGCTGACCTCACACCTCTTTTAGAATGCATACAATTCCATTATGAAACGGCATGTTACTCCGGCAAATGCGTGCCGTGCGGTTTTCGGAGCGATGATTTGCCTCCGCAGTCCCAGTACTCCATAGACCCAGCAATCCCAAGTGAATCACTCCCTTCGTCCCGCTCCAGGAAACCTCTTGTTTTCAAATCTGTCTGGGCACTTGTGCGGCTTGTCCTGCGTAGCTTGCGCATGTTGTCAAAGACATTTGACCAGAGTCAAGACAGGACACGACTTGCGACGCAAGCAACCCAGTATGGGCGAGGACAAGCCAGAAGGAGATGGCGAAGAGGTCGCCATTGAAGTTCCCATTCAGCCGGGGGAGCCTGTTGCAGCTGTGGATGCATCTATTGAACCGCCATATGGATGGGTTGTCTGTATCGCCATGCATTTGATCAATGGATTCACATGGGGTATCATTGCGGTATGGTCACTTGGCCCTAGCATGTCGTATACTGAGTACTGACCTTGAGCCTAGTCATATGGCGTTTACCTATCGTACTACATTGATAATTCCATATTCCCCGGTGCCTCAGATTTGGACTATACGTTCATTGGTGGCGTCAATTTCGCCTGTGCCATGCTCTGCGGACCTATTGTCAACATGTTTGTCCGAAGACTCGGGACACATATCCCTATGTACTGCGGCTGTGTCATGTTCGCGGGCGGCTTTGTCGCAGCCTCATTTGCCACAGAATATTGGCATCTTATTCTGACGCAGGGCATCCTGGTTGGGTATGTGGCTACGGTCTTGTCCTGATTGTGCGTCAGACTAATATTTGGCAGGTTGGGAACAGGCTTTTCGTGGCTACCAGCTACACCCATACTTCCCCAGTGGTTCAACAGAAATAGGAGTCTAGCTCAAGGCATCGCAGCCGCAGGGAGCGGCATTGGCGGCGTGATATTCTCTGCCGCAACAACCCCCATGATCGAGAATCTTTCGCTTGCTTGGTCACTACGGATCACTGGCATCCTCGCATTTGTGGTCCTGTTTACGGCATGTTCGTTGATCCGCGACAGAAACAAGACAATCCGTCCCAGCTACAAGCCTATAGACACGGAGCTCCTGAAAAGGTATCAGGTCTGGCTGCTTATCTTCTACACGTTCTTTTCCATCCTTGGCTACATCGTGGCGATCTATTCTCTGGGTAAATCAGCCGTCCAATACCACTCCAACATGAAGCTGATCTATTTCTTAGGCGCGTTCGCAACATCTCTCGGATTGACTCAAGATCAAGGCGGCACTGTGATCACCATCATGAACGTCGGAACCGCTTTCGGTCGACCTTTCATCGGGGTGCTAAGCGATCGATTCGGCCGCATGACAGTAGCATGCGTCTTGACCGCGTCAAACACCTTGCTATCATATGCGATCTGGATTCCTGCCAATTCTTATGGCGTACTTATATTCTTTGCTCTTACTGTGGGCGCGACGAGTGGTGTCTACTGGGGTGTACGAATACAACCACTTCAATGATACGAGTCTTGCTAACTTGTTCTTAGACAATTGCTCCTCTTTGTGCCGAGGTCGTCGAACTGAAAGAACTTCCATCAGCCCTCAGTCTGATGTGGGTGACTGTCTCTATGCCTGCTTTATGTGAGTCCTTGTAACGGCCGCCGTCTGATGAAACCGAAGCTCATTCCCTATGCAGTCTCGGAAGCAATAGCATTGGAGATTCGCCGACCTCATTCGTCCCGGCCTTATTTATGGCCTCAGATCTATACTGGCTTGGTCTTCCTGATCGCGGGTGGTTTCATGTTTGAGCTCCGCCGGCAGAAATGGGGCTTCAGGAGGGAAAGGCATAGATGAATGTCTCGATGGAAGATGAAATCACCACCATCGTGCCTTGTGATGCAAGAAACATTTTGGATTAGCTGCGCATCTTCGAAGGTGAACACAAAAGCCGGAGACAGGTCCTCTGATATGGTCCATCAGCTCCTTTGCTGGACTCAGGTTAAACATTACTCTCTATATCCGGCATCTGCACCCCTGGATTGTCCTCGCCGGCATTGATTGTCCCTGCAGGACAGTGTAGGGTGAATGACCAGTCTAGGGACCTATCACAAAAACCACTGGACGACAGCGACGATCACACGTGATAACAACTTGATGAGGACATAACCGCAAAACGACGTCATCTGGTCCTCTCCCAAGTTTCTTTAAACATTGCCCCAACGACCTGTTTCAAAGAAAGTGGGTTGAAGACAAGAGGTGGCTTCTCAACGAATCTACTGGGGATGAACTTCGAGTTGGGAATGTGAGCTCCTATGCAAGCTATAATGACTCTCAAGCGCTCGACATCCTCAAAGGCAGTCCTGTCGCTGCCCAATCCTCGAAAGACTCTCCTTAGTCGTGTCCGAAAAGGCTACCAAGCCTCGCCAATACCTCGCTTTTCCACCATGGCCTGGTACGACGGATCTTCGGCAAGTATTTACATGTTGACGCAGACATACTTGGACAGAGCATGTGTATGTGTATGTCTATGATGATGTTGTTGCTTGATTTGGAGACAGAACATCGCAGCTAATAGATCGAGTAACCAAATTGTCTGGGGTAATAATATGCCGGAAGCGGCCTCCCAGATCGCAAGTGCGGAGATGGTCGAGATCCCCAACATACCTAAAGGTTACGAGATCTCTCGTACTCGGTAGTACAGAATAAGGCTTGGCTTAGACATTGCCTTTAGTGGCATATGCCTCGGTATCAGTATTATTCAGTCACCCATTGTTCTCTTCACTAGTCCCATCTAATCATCGACTGCCGAAACATTTTGGTCGATCGTCGTGGACCAATTCCTGGTGCCCAGAACATCTTTTTCCTAGTTGGACTCCTGGTCATCTATCGCCATCTAAAGTACCAGATCGTCCGACATGTCACGGTAGCGGCAACCCTTGTGCAAAGAGTGAAACAAAAATCATGCCCGTGACCGAGATTTACATCCTCCGGCACGGCCACCGGCTGGCCTGGTCACTGAACCCCAGGACGGGGGAGTATTCTTCAAACCACCCATTCCCCACGCATCTCCCAGCGGATCCGCCGCTGGCATCGCACGGCGTGCGTCAGGCGGAAGAGACGGCCGCATACCTCAGCGAAGCGTTCGCCGAAGTGGTCAAGCAAGACCGGTTGAGGGTGTACTCCAGCCTGTTTTACCGGTGTCTCGAAACCCTACGTCCGGCCGTGGAGGCCTTCCTCGCGCAGGTGCCGGAGAGCGACGTCAAAAGGAGGAGACATCTACAAGTCCGCGGCGAGAGGGGGTTGGGCGAATGGTTCGGCCGGGCCTGGTTCAGACAGCCGCGACCCGCGGACCCGGAGAGGCTCAAGAACGAGTTCTTCCCCTGGCTGGACGAGTCGTACGCCTCGCGTGTCGTTCCTTCGGAAAACGGCGAGCGCATCCACGAGCTGCACGACCGCGTGGCGCGCGCCCTGGCACGCGTCGTGCAGGATGTGGACGAGGAGTATGCGCAGGCTGGGCGAGGGGAAGAAGAAGTCACGGTCTTGATATGCGGACACGCCGCCCAGATCATCGCCAGTGGGAGGGCCTTGACTGGGGAGGTCCCCGAGGACTGGGACGAGGAGGACTTTCGGTGTTTTACGTGCGGGCTCAGCAAATTTGTGCGGCGGAAACTGCCTCCTCTGGCCGCCCGCTCCTCTGGCGCCCAGCAAGAGATCGACGCGGACTACAGCTACCACGACGAAGACTGGAGGAATACCGGTACAGGCGTGGCCGGGGGATGGGATTGTATCTGGAACAGCGATTGCCGTCACCTGAGTCAGGGCGAGGAGAGAGGCTGGCATTTCCACGGCGACGAGAGTTTTGATTCTTACGAGGAGCTAGAGGGAAGAGGCATCAGAGTGCTGGATGGGGGTGTTCATCAATCCAAGTTATAGACACACTGGACGACAGGTTTAAATGTATTATTGTGGTCTGGTCCGTCTTGGGCGTGCTCTTTCTGTCTGAGGATCTTGCGCATGGACGAGAAATATGAGAGACATGGCTCCGTATAGACATGGATGGCAGAGATAGAACATTAGAAAGCCTATCTGATGGTGACAATAGCATGAGCGTCGAGTCAAGCATGTGTTGTGCTCGTGTGTACGAGTGTGCTCCGGCTCAGTTTGTTGAACACTTCTCGGTTTGGCGGACAAAGGGGGCGTGGGGAAGCCACCTCGACTCCGCCGAAACCCAACGAGAAAATCTCCTTGGAACTTCGCTCCACTAATTCATGCTCGGTACTGTGACCCTCACAATTGCGATTTCATCATCGCTTTTCTTATTCCAAGAAGATTTTCTGGTTTGTTCTCTTCCCCCGCCATCCAGCTGTTGGCTCGGCCCTGACGATTTTGCGATTCCCCCTGTCACTCTTGTCCGATAATGGTTGTTGCTTTTCGATAGGATGATGGCGGCTGTGAAGGGCCTTGTCCTCAGCCATGTCCTCTCCCGGTGCCAGAACGTTGCGCTGTTCTACCGATTGCTATCATGGTATACACTCTTCCCTCCGCGCATGGCTTGTGGAATTGTGCGTTCTGACTGCGAATAGACCTGCTAGCGACCTTCATCCGCCAGACTCGCCCTCAAACACGAACGAGACTTCGAGATGTCGAGCAACAGCATCGAACGTTCCACGACTACTTTGTCACACATCTCCCATCCTCCTCTCTTCATCCCGACTCGCGCTCTCTGACCGGCCTTGCCCACAAGTTTCCGCGGCAGGCTTCCACGCCGCATACTCCTGATGGGACATCTGCCCCCGCTACCCATCCGTCGATTTCTCGAGACACCACCGTAGTCCGCATTCCGCTCAGGAGCGCCAAACACCACTATGGCGCATTTGTGTCCAGAGGTAGCAGACCATACAACGAAGACTCTCACCAAGCGGGCGTCATCGAGCTCCCTGCATTCGCCAAAAAGGCCCCGTTGTCTCTCACCTTGAGCAAAACTCCTGGAGAGGGCACTTCTGCTGAAGGGGCGTCTGGCGATCCTCAGGTCTTCTATTTTGCCGTCTTTGATGGGCATGGGGGAGCAGAGTGCAGCGACTTTCTCCGCGAGTCGCTGCACGATTACATTGAGAAATCGGCCAAGGCGTTTGAGCTAAAGTCGAGCTTGAAGAAGAGCGATAAAAAGGACACCGGGGAAGCGCCGATACTTGGGGGACTTGACGGGGACGAGAACCAGCAAAGAGAGGGCAGGAAGGTGCTCGACAAGCTAGAAGTCAACAAGGGCGGTCCCAAAAAAGGCGACGACGAGTCGACGCCTAAAGACAACAAGCCACACCCAAGTGATCCTCCGCTGATCCAGTGCGCCAACAAAAGGAACATTCGACAATTGGAGAAGGAGCTGACAAGGAACTGGAAAGAGCTCGTGGGTGGGTACTTTCGTCGCTTTAAGCCCGCCTACTTTTCTATCTACAACGGGTATCAGAGGTTGGGCGAGGAGTCGGATGCTCTGAGGCAAGCGGGCGAAGACGTCGACTGCGGGGTGGCCATCGAGGAGGTCATGACTTATGCTTTTCTGAAAGCAGACTACGATTTTGTCGCCGCTCAAGCAGCGAAGAACTCAGAAAGCGTGGACAATACGAGGGCTGAAAGACCACTGAACGAAGGAGACATCCTGGGTGAACCTCACAGGTTTGCGACACATCTTGGTGGACCTCAGAGATTCAGAGGTGGGAGTACTTGCAGTGTGGCAATGGTATCGACGCCATCGCCTACGCCCTTCTGGAACCCCGCGACCACATCCACATTGCTGGTGGCTCATGTTGGGGACACAAGAATTATACTCTGCTCTACGGTCACAGGGCAAGCAATACCTTTGACCACGAATCATCACCCCTCGTCACCAGTGGAGAGCAACAGACTTAGAAGGTATGCGGCGTCATTTGTGACTGACTCGTTTGGTGAAGAGCGGATCTTGGGGTTGGCCAATACGCGAGCATTTGGTGATATCGCCTCGAAGAGAATGGGTGTGAGCGCGGAACCTGAGATCAAGAGGGTAGAAATGGGGCCGGCCGAGTATTCATTCGCGGTTTTGATGTCGGACGGCGTTTCTGGCACGCTAGATGATCAAGAAGTCGTGGACATTGTCAAAGAAGCTAAGACGCCCGAGCAGGCCGCGCGGGATGTAGTCAATTTCGCCACAGAGGTATCTTCTGAAGGCGACAATGCTACTTGCTTGGTGGTGAGGATGGGTGGATGGGAGCGACGACAAGAGGGCGGCAATGGAAGCCTGGGAACCAAGGAGATGCGAGATTTTAAGAGACAACAGGCATCTGATCCCAGAAGTCGGCAGCAATAGAAGGGGTGGCCTGAAGGCATTCTATAGGCAGACTATATTATCTACTGTAAATATATAATGGGTACCTACATCAGGTGGTGGTGGTGGTGCTATAATGTTGTATACATCTGCGATATACCTCCCTACCGTGCTGCCTCAGCATCTGGTCTCCCAAGTTGGAAATGTAACCATGTGGCTATCCCCCGTCTCGATTGTCCATTCAGCACCGTTGGAAGCGCAGACGAGGGCCAGTCGGACCAGGGAATTGATTCGTCCGAATGGACATCGCTCCATCCGCGGTTCCGGGAAGAGACCCTGATCCAGAACGCATGTCCAAGAAGAGGAAATAAATATCCACGCAGTCGTTAGCACGGCCAGGCTTCCCCTCAGAATTGTGACTTTGTAATCTCTCCTCTAGTTCTGTCAATGTCTGTTTCTTGTCCATCTGTGCGCTGAATCAGCCAAATTGTATTAGCCTTTGAAGTTGCCCGAAAAGACACGCGCGACTTTGCTCGTCCATCCCGCGCCAGTCCGCAAG